AGATATTGTAGGAAAGTCAAGGACTGGAAGTGTGAGCGAAAGAAGCAGAGGACGTGGGACTTCTAGCTTCCCTGCCAGTGATCGAACAGCCTGGTTTCCTTCCTCTGACTCTACTCCGAGAATACACCTGCAAAGTTATAATGTAGATTTAAAGAGGGCATTTACATATATCTGCACTGAATATGCATTGGATCTTTGTACATGCACCAAGACACTACCTTATGAATACTTCAGCCTAAATTTGATACACATTTTGTAACTGTTCCTCTGTATAAAGGCAATTTAATTCATTTTGAGGTATGTGCAAATATTCATCCCAACAACCCATATAGCTTTATAATTAGACTTCCACCTTGGACATACAAGACTTATAATGGCTTATAACCATAAATAGGGGAACTGCTCAACAGTGTTTTTCTGACAACTGCTTACTTTTTCAAGACCGAATTACATAAGAATGGTCAGAGAGATGAATTAGTAACTTCCTTCCATACATACAACTTACCTATGCTTGCTACAATAGTTCTAATACCATTAAATTATGAAATTGTTTATGCTTATAACTAGAAATTAATAATACTAAGAAATTCATACAGTCCCCCTCCCTCCCTCATCTATGCCCTCCTCCACATATAATATAGCCTTCCCATTCACCAAAAGGTCGGTCATAAATGAACATTGTTTAAAAATCAATTCTTGCACTCCTGATGTACATATCAAATACAATGACTCTTTCCAACAGAGAAAATTATGAAATTTCAAGTTGCTGGAATGGATGTCTCTGCAGCTTCTCTAATATTGAGAAAACTAATAATCAACAAAACTCAAAGTATTTCAATTTGTTCAGTCTTACATCTTAGACAAACTTGATAGATCTGAGCATAAATTTCCGCCTTTGAAAATATTATTATTATTTTTTTTATGCACTGATGATAATAATAATAATAATAATAATAATAATAATAATAATAATAATAATAATAATATAATATAATAACATAACTGATAATAATGATGATGATATAATAATAATAATAATAATAATAATAATAATAATAATAATAATAATAATAATAATAATAATAATATAATTATTAATTAATGATAAATAACAACATGATAATAAACAATATTAATATAATAATATAATAATAATAATAATAATAATAATAATAATAATAATAATAATGATAATAATAATAACAATAATAAAAAATTAAATGAAAAAAATAAAAATATATAATGATGATGATAATGGTGACAATAACAATAATAATAAAAATAATAATAATAATAATAATAATAATAACAACAATAATAACAAAAACAAGAAAATAAAAATAATAAAATTAATAATAATGATGATGATGATAAAAATAATACCAACAATAACAATATTGGTAATACTTATAATAATAATAATAATAATAATAATAATAACAACAATGATAATGATGACAATAACAGGAATCACTTCAAATTCTACTGTACAAGCACTACAAAATGGGTCCATCAGTCAAATATACAAGGAGGAAATTCCAAAATTGGGCTCAGTCATTGCTGACAAGAGAAACTCCCATTATTCCAATATATTTTTCATATTCATTTAAACAGCAGTTATTGTACTAAGGCAAAAGCACTGCAATTTTATATCCAACCAGCCTGTCAAAATATAATTAATTATCTCAAACCATCAATTCAGAAGAAAATCGAGTATGGTAAAATTTGCATATTTTAAATCAGTGATGACTGTGTGAAGAAACTGCAATCCATAACATACATATCCACTACCATAAAACAGTGTTGAGGTATGGCATAAATGAGGTTTAAAAACAGGAATTGTGTCTGACATGCCTCAAACTGATGGCCATACATACACAGGATTTCAAAAGAAGCATAAAATAAAAAATAAGGGGTCTCTTATACCTTTTCTTTCTCTCTCTTTCTCATTCAACATGCAAATAAATAAATCAAAACTCTGGTCTCTCTGTCTCTCTCCCTTTCTCACTCATGCTTGTGTACACACAAACACACACGCACACATGCACACACATACTCATTCACTCACTCACTCACTCACATACGCACGCACCCACCCACTCACGCATGCAAACACGCATGCACACACCCACTCACACACCCAACTCACTCACTCACTCACACACTCACACTCTCTCTTTCTCTCTCTCTCACTTTCACTCACTGTATGCCTCTATTTGTATTATATACTCTTTTCACAGATTTATACAAATATTTTCTACAACAAGCAACCAATCTTTTAACTCACTTGATGTCATAAACAGCAAGAGCGCTTAGACCTAAAAATCCGTTCTTCTGTGCGGTATCCCGATGAATGCTGTACAGGTTTCCAATCTTACCACACTGGGTTACTGTTATAAAAACACGATTCCTGAAGGAGAAATTGAAACAAAATTATCTCACCTGTCAAAGAGAAAAAATTGTTCTTATTGTAAAGATTAGCATCTGAGAGAAAAAAGGGAACTAGAAAGTGAAAAGGACTGTACATGAATACACATTTCTGTTTCATCTTCACTTGAAATCTGTTTGTTTTTTTCTGACCTGATCATATTTTCTAAAGTGTATCCATCAAATACCTGATAAACAATGACACTCTACCCCTGATGTCCTATTTATAATAACCGTGTCTTGTTGCACATTTCTATTCGCCATGATCATGAGAAGCCTATGAAGAGCTGGTAGGATTTTCTCAAAAAACTCTTTTATTACAAAATATATATAGTGTACACTAATATACCTGGTACTGTTTGGCAAGTTTCTTCAGCCATTCCTTTGATTTCACCCCAGTTGTAAGTGTGTAGTGATCTTTTGCTCCTTCCACCTTCCCCTACACAAAATACTATTACATATCAGAGTTACCTCTTGGTATACCATTACCTTTTTACCATCTATACTTCTAGGCATTTATACATTTTACTGTTTTATATGACTGTATGTGCTATATTTACATATTCATATGCTGTCTACCACTATTTTCACAATCAGAAGCAAGAGGAAAAATTTTCAACTCGATTGACAATCATTATATTTGAGATATGATAATTAAATATACAAATTCTGGTGCAAAAAATTGAGCTCTTTAAATACTTGCAATCCAATTTTATATTAGTGAAATTTGTAAAATCATCCCATTTTGAGGCTGGGGGGGACAGCTGCAAAAATTCTTGAAAATATATATTGGTGCAAGCACAGGAAGGTGGGGGTCGGTTTATCACACCTGTCCAAAAGAAAGTGAGTTTTACATCCAAACTTTAACGCTGAGAAAATATCAGTGAACATTTGGCATTTTTACATCAACAAACATCTTTACATCATAATAATTACAGGTCTGCTTGTATTATTGACTTAAAACTCTCATAAATGTCTTCTATCAAGTGAGAAATATGTTTATGAGTGACAACTGGCTATAATTACATAGGGGGAAGACTAAATCTGCTAGACATATATATGAACATAAAGTCTCATTTCTATAAACAGAACTTATTTCATAATGTTATTACCTTCAAATGCTTACCTGCTGCCCTTCCTAAGACACAGTTAAGAATCTTCAGAGACAAATAAGGAATTTAAATAACAAATGAAATCTCTTCTCACTCTACCTGTACACAATGATGGCAAAATCTGTATGGACGCCGTTAATTAGGGACGCGAAAACCTTTGACGCAATGGAAGCTGGTCTCTGCTGATTGTTTGCAACAAGAGGTCTGGGGGTGCTCACTGTGTTGTCTATCAGTGATGCCATAGTAAACTGAAACCAAATTTTAAAATGTTAATCAATGATGCCTAAAACCTCTTGCACATAAACATATAGATCTAGTTCCTATACTCAAAAATATTTCCTGGCTGATTTTTCTGGGACTACTTAGGAAATATATTGCATAACATATACGAATATCATCCAATAAAATTGCCACTATTTTTCAAAACCCTGTTGCTTGTATTGTAACTATATCTTAAAATTCATTAAAAAAAAAAATACAATATGTATTACTAATACTATGTAAACATTATTACTTCTAACTTCATTATTCAGATACTCTACATCAATCAAGTAAATCAGCCTTCTGTTAGTAACATTAATTTTGATTAAATTACTTGCCAAATTATGGAATTAAAGTACCCATAACTTGAAATAATTCCTCTAAATCATAAATATTCTTTTATTATACCTTATATAATATGATCAACAGCATATATTATGATATTTTTCTATTTATTTTTTTTATTGATTTATGTACACGTGAACGGGGAAAGCACAGCAGAAAAAATAGGAGATAATAAGGAAGAAGATAAAATGGAATAAGCAAAATACAAACGTACAGAAAAAGGAACAAAAGAAAAGGAAAAGCTGAAAATAAATAACTGTAAATGCAGAGTCACAACCTTGCAAACAAACGTACAGAAAAAGGAACAAAAGAAAAGGAAAAGCTTGCAATCTGTTCTGAGAAATGAGTTCATTGGTTACAAACTTGTGTCGCAATACAATAAGGGAAAACGGGAGAGAAGAGGGAGGGAAAAAAGGAAGGAAAGAGAACAGAAAAAGGAAGGGAAAGAGAACAGGAAAAGGGAAGTAAAGAGGAGTTAATGAAATGTTGTTAATGAAGTATCTCGTGATTAATGTTCGTCCTTTATTCACTGCAAAAGAATTTTTTTCTTCTTTAATTCATGAGCCCCAAATAGATGGTATCAATATTTTTCCTTAATTTTTGAAGACAAAAAAATCTCTTCAGTATAACACCAGTTGGCATACAGTAATGTAAAAATGAAAACCATGTAAAGAATTAACCAATTCAGTGATTACTTTACCCACCTGTGTTTGAGTCTGAGTAAATATCTAATGCTTTCTTAATAAATTCCTAATGCCTTTTTACTAGGAACTGATGCTCATATAGCTATTCTCCCTTCTCACTTTCCAACACTACTACACTCCATGAAATATGAAAGTGCAGTATGATTTAATTGTTCTATACACAAGAACAGGCAAAAATACTATGAAAAAATGTGCAATAAGGAACAGAGTATAAGTGAGAGTAATCCCAATTACAGTATCTTCTGAATTCTTCAAGACCACTAGGCCTATATGCCAAAAAGAAGTGGTGAGTACTTTTTAGCGTGACCACCAAAAACAACAGTATCAAGGAATGCTGGTGATAAATTTCAAAAGGCAAATTTTCATCTAAAACTTGCAATTTCAGTCAAAAGACATCACGAAAGTAAGTTGTACGTATCTGGAGAACACTTCAAAACATTTATATTCATTTTCATTTTTTCCTCTGCTTATAACCTGCTTTGGAAGGACAATAATATACATTGTTCCTTTTCTCTTTAATAAAAATAAATAACACAAAAATCAAATACATAATACCCATGTTGTATTTACATTTCATAAACACCAACACAGAATCTTTAATCTATGTTTGTGTACTTTTCTTAAATCCGTTGTCAAACCTTGTGATGACACCCATATCAATATGAACAATAGCAGTGCTTCACTATGGCAAATATCAACAACACAATTGAACAAGAGTTTAAAATGATAAGTGTTAAAAATATAAATGGATGAAAAACTGAATACCTTCAAAATAAAATGTATGTAATGCTGGTAAAAATGGAACAATGAACACATTAATTCCCCATTTTGCTCTGTGAAATTCCTTCTCATTCATATATTTCCTTAACAGAACATCATATACAGTTTATCCTAAAATGCCTAAACCATTTTATACTCTCAAGTATCAATTATTCCATTTACAGGCAATACAATAAGCAATTTGAAAATGGTCAATAGAATATACACAATCCACTGTAAAATGTCTATGTTCAATGTGTGTTAATTTTTACTAGTCATAATGAAGCAAAACCATTAACCCAGAAAGACACCAATACAAACGACAATATTAAGACAAAGTAAGTCTTTTCTTACAAATTAGAAATCTCACTTATGTGTATGGAATATAAAATTTGTACTCCTATATATAAATGGTTTGTTGAATCTCCACAGTCAAAATATGCAGATGAAGTAAATTAATTGCACAGTTTTATCTATTAGTACAAAATCTTATGACTACCACTGTAAATTACTGAATATAAGAATTGAAACAGAATTGTTGGTATGAAAGTACAGCTACAAGTAGTTTGCTATGAGAATATGAGTATAACCAAAATTCAGGACACATTACTTAGAAATCCAAAGTAAAGTATACATCCAAATGTCCATTCAGTGATGACACTATTTGATTTGCACATGCCATCAAAGTCTGAATATTATTATATTACTTGTCTTATATAATATAAACCTTTGTTACCCATAGTATCTTTACCTTTTCTTCTTTTTATTCTTATCTTTTAGTAACTGGGCAGCAATACGTTTCTTTTCCTCCATCAACTTCTTGTCTGCTTCTCTCTGGGTGATTGTTTCCCTCTCTAAGAGAGCCTTATACATATCTTCTTTAGTCACTTTCTTCTTAGGCTTAACTTCTGATATACTAGTTGTAGGTGGTGGCATTGTAGGTCCTGAGGCTTCATCACAATTTTCTTCTGCTCTCTTCTTTGGCCGACCACGTTTGGGTTTAGACGGGGAAGAGCTGCTTTCTGACGGGTCAATCAACAAAGTCCGAGACTGCTTTTTCTGGGCTGGTTTATCTCCCTTAGGTGGTGAACCCTCTGCTGTCATGTCTTCAAATTCTTCTTCCTCTTCAACTGGTTCTTCTGCCTCTTCTAACTTTCTTCTCTTTGTTTTAGGTCTTCCTCTTTGAGCAGAACTATTTCTCTTTTTATCTTCCCTAGCTGAGGTAGAACTGAGAGGCTCTTCTCCTTTGGCTCTGGCGATAGCATCTTGCATCCTCTTACTGGCAAATTTGTTTTCTTTTACAAGTTTTATGTTGGTATAGAAAGAATCAATTCTCGTCTGAGAAGTTCTAACTCCAAGTTTTTTCATGACAGGTATCAGGATTTCATCTGCTTTGGCCCTATTCCATCCAAACTTATCCATTGTGAACATTCTTAAGGCATCTATATTAGGAACTGCCCAAGAAAATTTTTCTAATGATTCATCTACTTCTGGATGGTGATATGCATCAAAGATTGCTTTATTTGGAAAGGACTCAGGAATCATAATCTGTGACAAACGCTGTTTAACCTTGGACTGATAAGCAGCACTTACGTTCCTGTGTGCAATATTCCACCACTTTTTCAAGTTGTTTAGGCATTCAAGGCCTTCACCTGGGAACTCTGCCAGCACTTCCATAGCTAAAACTGCTCCTACAGATTCTACACCTACAGTATAGTCACTTCCTGTCAGTAGTGCAAGACTAATCATTTTGTTTCTGTCTAGTCCAATATTTGCTTTGATATTATCTGTCTTGAAAAGTTCTACATGCTTGGTCTGATTGAAAAAGTGTTTGTATACATTACTGCCACCAAAAAGGAATATATCTGAATCATCAGTGATGGTGCCACTGGTAAGTTTCTGTGCATTTAGAAAGGCACACTGGGCCTCTGCTTCCATTGGAGCCACAAGATATGGAATGCCAAACAGCTGTAGGAGTTCCTGCGCTTCTCCATACATTTGGTCATTCAAATTGGAAGCAATTCTTTCAATTTTTTGTGCCTGAGCTACAAGGGTTTGCTGCTCTGATGCTAGTTCTTCCTCTAAATGTTTTAATTCATCCTTAGAATATTCTAAAGGTCTTTCTATTTCTTCTGTATTTTCCTTGTCCCCTGCATCTGACTCCGATTTCCCTGATATAACACTGGCTACCTCCAGATTTGTGTCAGCCTTGAGATTCATTTTGATCTTGGTTTGTTCTTCACTCTTAGTATCTGATGGACTCACTGAATCCATACTAGAATCCTTATTGCAATCCTTGGAATTGTCCTCAACCACCACAAAATTTGTACTTTTCTTTGTTTCTTGTAAGTCTCTTAAACTGTCACATTCTCTTTCTGGTGATGTGATCTTTGACATAGAAATACCTTGATCTCCACTTTTGTCTTTAGCTAATGATTCATTAATATCATTATCCTCAGGTACTTCTATCAGATCATCATCATCTGATCCACTATCTGCGGTTTCTGTAATTTTCTGAGTAATATCTCCTTTTGGCAAAAGGGGCTCTTTTTCAGCCTTCTGAACATTACTCTCGTTGTCTATGTCACTACCATCACTTGAACTCATAATTTCCACATCATCAACAGACATTTCTTCCTCTGCAAATGAGCTATACTTTGCATTTTCCTTGAATGCACTCTTACTTCCCTGAGAACTCATTACTTTGTCAATTTCCAGCTTAACCAGGTCTTCTATTTTGCTCTGTAATTCTGTGGTAATGTCCATATCCTTTGTAATAACAGTAGATAGAGCAACTGCTTTCCCTGTGCTTTTTTCTTTATCACTTATTACTTTTCCAGTATCATCTGGAAAAAAATCTAATTGCTGCTTTCCTCGCTGTTCATTCTTTAGGGAATTTGAGTTCATTTTATTAGGAATATGACTCAATGTGTCCATTTCTTTCACATCAGCAACATTGCTTTTTGCCTTCACTGAATCAATCACAGGTTTAGCAGCTGGCATGACATTAATATCAGTAAAAATGTCTGCAAAAATATCATCCTCCATTTTCAATGGTTTGACATCAAAATCTAAAGAAATGGCAACAGCTTTTAGTTCCCCATTGTCTTGTCTGCTTGGATTTTTACCCTCATTTGCCTCAGATCTTCTGGTGTCAACAACAGCCTTTTTGGGTGAATTTTTATCTGTTTGTGTGTGCACTATATCGTCTAACTTCTGCTGAACAATCTTCATCCACAAGCTATCATTTTTATTCTCCAATATTTTATCTACATTGCTTCCTTGATCTTCCTTGGCAATACCATTAATTTTCTTGTCAGAAAGATCCAAGGTATCACTTTTTTCCCCTATTTCTATGAGGTCACTGTCATCATCAGAGGAATCAGCATCTGGATTGAACACAAAACCTGATGCATTCCTTGAAGTTGAGGGCTTGTCTCCATCATCTACCTGTTCCTCATTCTTATTTGTTCTTGGTACCATACTCTCCTGTTTGACAAGTGCCAATATTTCATCCTGTGTTAGGCCATTGTTTTCCATTAGGGAGCCAACAATCTGAAGCAAGCCATCGTCTTCCATATTTGTTTTGGCTTGAGAGCAAAACCCAAAGTCAGAATCTCCATCAACAAAACATGATTCTTCATCTGATTCTGAATCTGACTGCTGGCCCTTTCTAACAATGCCTTGTTTTGCAAGTTCAGTCAAGAAGTCCTTTTCAAAATTCCCATTCTTGCTTTTCATCAGAGATTTTCCCTTCTCCTCCTTTTTAATTTTGATCTTCTCTTCCTCTTTCAAATCATCATCTTTAACCTTTTTCACAAGAATTGAATGGGCTGAATCTTCGGATATAATTCTGTGTGTTTGGCTCACATGCTTTTCCAATTCTCCAAACATTTCTGCTTCCATTTCAACAGCTCTCTTCTTTCGAATTTCTTCCTGCGTGTTATCAAGGGTAACCTGAAATTTTCGCCTCTTCATTAATCTATCTATCTGAAACTCTGCAAAACCCTTTCCATCTTGAGGCATCTCATTAATAGCAGCCCATGAGTTCTCCTTCCGAGTGCACTGTAACTCGCTCAGAATCACCTGCTGTGTTTCAATTGGTAGGGCTTTGAATTCCTTGCTTTCATAGTCAAAATGATGCAAATTGGGAAGATCATAGCTATTCAAAACTTCATGCTCGTCTTCATTCTCTTCCGACTTGATGGTAGTCATCCCTTCTTCATTTTCCTCTGGTGGGGGTAAGGGAGGAAGTTCAAACATATCTTTCTCCTTCTTCTGAGGCTTTGGAACATGTACATCACTGGGCCCGCGTCCAGTCTTGCCCAAAGCCTTTCTGACAGCCTGGCTCTTAAGCAGATTTGACAGGAGCCTATCCCGCACCTGCTTGGCTTTACTGGCAGCTACATCTCTCTTAAGCCTACGTGCAGCAAGAGTCTGCTTTTTCAAGTGGGGAACACCACCATCAAATATGAATACAGGCCTTATTCGATAAAATAACAATTTGCAGATTCTATGAAAGACTGTAAGCAGATGAGCATTTGCCACTGCTGCACCTCCAGGACCTCTGAATCCTCTGACTGCCTGGTGAAGCCAAATGGATACATCCACACCCAAGATTTTGTGTTCAAGGGTTTCAAGGGGAACTGGTGTGCCAGAACTCTCAATGAGTTTCCATAATCCTTTAACTCCCATGGTGCTCTTTCAATTTAGTAAACAGCAAAAATCATTTAATAAACAAATAGTTGTCTCATCTCATCCACAGACTATATTCTGTTTAACTGCTGCATACCGTTAATAATTTAACTTTCACAAAGACAGCCACTTTTCCTTTTCAAAAATATCATAAACCAAAGTTAAACCCATGGGCCACCAAACAACAAGTGGTTTCTCCTCCATTCTTGAGTTAGGTGATGCTGAGCAGGTGCAGCAGATTCACCGAGCAGACAATGCAGTGGTGCCAGGCCTTGAGCTCCACCTGTAACCAAAGCCGGCCATAAGTATCTGGGGAAATGATGATTTGGTTTGATAAGTAAACAGTCTGTCTAATATTATATCTTTTTATGCTATGTAGATTAAATTAATGATGAAAAATATTCATGTGAAACTATGCCATTTGTAATTTTGGAGTTCTTGAAATTCTTATGGTTACTATTCAACAAAGAGAGAATAGAGAGTAAAGCTAATTTTTGATACATTAACTTTATGTAATTCCACAATTATCACTTACCAAATTATCCTTTCCCCATTAACTTTAAAATAAGACCAACATTTAATGTTTGAAACAAATAAATGTGCTAGACATCAAAGGTCATATAGCACTATGGAAAAATATTGTGTCGGAAAGGGTAAAGAAGAGTTAAAGATTACAATAAAAGTGTTAGATGTCCAAGATTAGAGAGCGTTATAGGATAGTATGATAGCGAAAAGGGAAAAAAGGGGAGTAAGCGAGCTAGAGTGGAGATTAGTAGAAAAGGGAGGGTTAAGGAGGTAGGCCAATTGAGTGAATCATTGTGTATCTGTCACAGGAGAATTTATAGGAAGGGGTTGATATGGTAGGGCAATCCACCAATATAAACCTCATAGGGGAAGTCACGGCTACAGAAGCTAATCTTGGCAATATTGACATGGGATTTCTGCTGGCCTCTGGGAGGAATAGTACACTGTACTGCCACTGTATCATATTCAGCAAGGCAGGTAAGTAGGTCATTTTCACAGTCTGACCAATCCTTGTTGTACATAGGACAAGCACTTGGGGGGATAGAAACAGTTCTAGTACAAGTATTAAGAGAGGGGTGAGGTTCGGCAGGAATAGGTTTTCCCGTAAGTCAGTTAGGGTAGATAGTGCACGAGCTTGGGATTCAGATGTAATTGTGACAAGGCATGAACAATGAGAGTGACTGCGAAAGGTAACCTTGCCTACTTGTTTCTGGAGGCACTGTTGAAAGAGAAGGTTATTCTCGGAATAGGGGGCTGTGTTTGGAATTACAAAGAATTGATTCCACTTGGCTGGGCTACAGAGAGTACTCAGAAAGTTTACAGAGGTAGAGGCAGTAGAACGAGGAGAGCGAGAGGAAGATGGGGTAGTGTGGAGTGCAGTAGTTCTGTGGGGGGAGGACAATAAGGATAAAGTGTAGTAATAAGGGAGGAGGGGGTAGGCATGGAAAAGGACTGTGCAGTAGGAGATGGAGGGGAGAGTGTTGGGCGAAAGGAAGGGGTGCTTTCTGAAGGTTGAGTAATAACTTGGGTGGATGTTTTGGAATGGTTAGAGTTGTTTGTAGGTGTCGAAGAGGTGGTATTAGCGTCAGTGGTGGGAGCTGTGGTCAAAGGAGGGGCAGGGGTTGGAGAGCCATCAAAATCGAATTCAGATGGCCTAGTTGATGAAGGGGCAAGCCATAATGCCCCTATTAAAAGTAAAGAATCTTTATAATTGGCTATGGTGAGCCTGAATAAAATTGGAAAAAGAAACAGTCTACCCCTCGGGGTACCCCTAAGAAATAATGGTAGGCAATTAACCAAGGGAATACCGGGGAGACCATTCATGACTGACAAAAAGCCAGCCTTTCATCCTTTCAGCACGGCTCTCACACCTTAAGATTGGGATAGAAGAGAGCAATGAAGAAGATACAGAAGAGGAAAGGAAAGAAGAAAAGACTAAGCATAATTAGTTGAGGCGAGAACTGAGGCCCAAGGTAGGGGTGATCCCCTACATTGGGCCTCAGTCTCTGTCTCCTAAGCTCTCCCACAACAATAATGAGCAAGGTATTGTGAGGGAAAATAAGGCCAAGCTTCATAACATTCTCCATACCGCATTCTGTACATTTCCCTTTTGTTAACACATTCTGTGGGATGTAACCCACTGGTGAGTCAAGATGCATAGTCTCGTTTTACAACATATCAAAATTAGAAATTCGTAACTTTTTCATTTAATATATTCCTGATTCTTTGCTGCTTTGACATTGGATTAAAAATAATTATTACCTTATTTTAAAGAAATCCTCAAAAGTAAACATATTCATGATGGATTTTTTTTCTTTGGCTATTATTTTACTACAATATCAATGCATTACTAATATTCTGAAAGCACAACATACTGCCGACTCCTATCTACCCTTGCCTCTCAGACTGGTTATCATTCATAGTACTAGTAACATACTTTTTGCTACCTTTGCTAGGTGGTTTTCATATATTCTCTTACCTTTTGTAAACATAGAACCTTGAAGATAGCATGAATTTGATTATTCTTTTATCAAAACCCTCTGAATTGACCCAATGAGCATACATTCACTAGTAGTTCATATCACAAAGACATTCTTTTCTTCTACATGCGATTCAACCTACTTGGAAACATGTTCTTTATGATCAACAGACCCTACAAAACACCAAGCAAGTAAGTACCTCTTCATCCCCTGACCTTCCCAATCGCTGTTCGTCTGGTCTCCTTCCCAACAATTCCTATCCAACTGCCTCATTCATTATAATGTTCAGTACATTAAAAGATTTAAGTGGATTTACCTTTTGGTGAAGGGTAACAGCATGCTTGGTTGTTCAGGAAGGCAACAAGCCTCTGATTTTGTGGGGTATGGGCAGGTACAATATGGTTAATGTACTTCACTAAATTTAGTATGACCACTGAAACTGTAACAATTTTTGTCATGTCTATTTTACTGGAAAATTGTGAAAGAATTTGGAGGCATAAGAAGCACTGTCAATCAACTTTGTTTCTGGAAAATGCAATAAGTACTATGACAACAGAACTGTAAAATTTGCTAGCAGATAGTTGCACATGTGCAACATATGCCTGTAAGAAGCATTTCTCACTTCTAAAATATGTTTCCTTAAAACTATAAAATGCATAATTCGATATACATTCCATATATGTATGGAATGTATATCTAATATATAGGGATTTTTGTGCATTCTGATGAAAATCAAAATAAGGAAATACATTAAAGGTACAATCCCTTTTTAAGAGTGACAATGATTGGTAGCGATTTCAAAACCTAACTGCTCCAAGACAATATATGCAAGGTTATTTTGCAGGAAAGGTGTTGACTGCAAGGCAAGCCATGAAGGGATAGCCTGTGCAACATTAAATTTGTTAATTGTGATGCAAAAATGTCTTTCCATGTTCTATTTTTGACTTTGTTGATTGATCTACATACAGTTCTTCCATTTTAGTAGACTTTTTTATTTGTTCATCTAAATCCCATTATCTCTAATTCAACCTATGAAAATATTAATACCTATAAGGAAAGGCTCCTTTCTATAAAAGCAATCTTGAAATTAAAAACATCTGCATATACAGAAGCTAAGCCATAATTTCACGGAGCACTACAGTTTCAAAAGCAAGGTTGGTTGATCTTTATGGTATGGCTGCACTAACCTACGGTAAATTTATGATAATTTTGTAAAGGACAAAAAGTTGCAGTTGTCGTTACAAGACCTATTTCCTGCTCAAAGCCTCTCCTCACAGTGCTCCCGAGTTTCAGAGTTTCAGGAGGAGGGGTCATGCCTAGTTGCCCCAACTCAGATTGTTGAAAATGTCATTCTGAAGTGCCTTAATAATTATGTGATTGTTATTCATGTTTGTTTTTAAGTATGGATGAACTTTATTTTGTTGTGTTGTTATGTTGTAATTCAAATACCTGCAAGAAAAAAATTGCATGCGAGCAAAAATGATCAGAGCTGCGACTCAAGATCAGCGTCACTGCAAGCATTTGCATGTTTTTCAACCTGGTATGATTAGAGGTGAAGAGTTTAGCATGACAAATATAGAGCTGGTATAAACGGGAATGAATACCTCTCTACTGTGAGTAATGCCTCAAGTTTACATGTTTATTTGAATTTCTGCTTGATGAAAAGTAATATCAAAACACCAGTTACATATCTCACACTGTGGAATTATTGTCACTCGAAACTTTCCCATTGCACAGTATGTTTGCGTAATTGCTTTTATAATTCAGTCAACCGGTAGATTTTTTCAATGTGGATGAAGGAAAGTTTAATTTTGTATAACAATTTCATTTGCTAATTAAGTCTATTAGGATCTTTGATAATACATATTTTCCTCCTTCTATCTGCGCAATATAATGTAAATAATAACGTAAATACAGTCTTGCAACAATGGTAAAACATTTTCTGTACCCACAGAAACCTCTGGAAAAAATGACAAGAAATGACAAGAAATACAAGAAACAACACACGCCTCATAACTACTAAATAATTAATAAACCCATCTATTATCCAGGATCTTACCTCTCAGATCTAATCACCAAAGGACAACCATCTCCTGAGAAACCAGTCAAAAATTTAGAAACCCATGCGCTCGAAATCCCTTCTGCCTTTGTATCGGTGTTTATTCTGGTTTCCTTTCGATCGCTTACACTCAGGAACGGTTGCGTCATGTGGCGAAAACTTGCCCGGCTTTGTATGTTATCTATTCCATATGCTAAATATTCTCTATGAAATTTCAAACTCATTTTCTTTCCCTGCATGTTTTATCTATCTTTGGGAACTTGGCATCTTTTATTCACTTAGACAACTTATTTCAATACTGTATTACTCAATAAAAAAAAATGATCTCAGAGAGAATGGTCCGCTATATCTATATTATGCCTTTTTAAATTTCATGTGTGTTTCTGGGTACAACTTTTTCTGAAAGGCAATTCCATTCATAAACAGTCCTAAATTTCTGTACATCCTTGCTAACTCGTTCCATTCTTAACTTTTCGCCTTATCACTCTCCATGTCGTTTTTCTTCTTTTCTTATGTAGTTAAAGATTTTATGTATTTTTTTCTTCGTGGCTTCTTATAGAATACGCTCTAGATTAGCAATGATCTTGCTTAAACAGGGGATTCTCAAACTTTTTTTATCTCTTTTATGATAAAAAAAATAAACCGAGAACCCCCTCACATAAGCTTCCTAAGATTGATTTAATGTTACATGTTTTTCATAATTCGTTATACATGTATATGGCATGTTGGCGATGTGGACAAACAAACGCAAATCGAAAGAATTTTATTAGAAGTAAAGTCGCTCATGGAAACCTATAATTCAAGATAAAGACAAAATTATTTTTTCTATCTTCAATTCTTATATCAAAACGTTGATAATTCAAATAGAATAAATAATGATAGAGAGAAAAAAATGCCTGTAATGAGTAGTTATGTTGGTTAATGAGCCTTAAGCAATGAAACCAGCCATATAGCTACAGCTTGCACGTATTTCACTACATTCATGAAAATGTGGTATATTACAAGTTGAAAGGTGCAAAGCGTAACGCATTTATTATTTCGTAAATAGATACTTGCAAATTGAGAACCGCTATGAAACGTGATTGACATTAGAAGAAAGAATTTCTCTCTCTCTCTCTCTCTCTCTCTCTCTCTCTTCTCTCTCTCTCTCTCTCTCTCTCTCTCTCTCTCTCTCTCTCTCTCTCTCTCTCTCTCTCTCTCTCTCTCTCTTCTTCTTCTTCTTCTTCTTCTTCTTCTTCTTTTTCTTCTTCTTCTTCTTCCATCCTTCCTTCCTCTTGTCCTCTCTCTCCACGCTGTGTATCTCAATCTATCCATTTCTGTATCGTATGTGCATTCATCTTTTTCTCTACTTCTCTGTCTGACTGTACACACAAACATACACACACACACACACACACACACACACACACACACACAACACACACACACACCACACACACACACACACACAACACACACACACACACACACACACACCACACACACACACACACACACACACACCACACACACACACACACACACACACACACATATATATATATATATATATATATATATATATGTGTATATATGCACACATGTGTATCGACACACATACACACGCATATATCTCTCTCTCAGAGAGAGAGATGAGAGAGATGTATGCGTGTGTATGTGTGTGTTTGTGTATACACATGTGTGTGTGTCTATACACATATGTGTGCATGGAGAGAGGAAGAGAAAGAAGAGAGAGAGATGTATGCATACGCATATATTACATATATAATATATATATATATTATGCACACATATGTATGCGTGTTGTTTGTGTATACACGTCTATACACATATGCATATATATATATATATATATATATATATATATATATATATATATATAATATATATATATATATATATATATATATATATATATATATATATATATATATATATATATAATTATATATGTGTAGACAAAATATATGCACACGTGTATAGACGCATACATTCTCTCATCTCTTCTTTCTCTCTGCACACATATGCGTATAGACACACACATGTATGTATACACACAAGCACACGCATTTCTTTTTCTCTTCATGGGACACAAACGCACGCAAATACATACATAAAACTGTCACCGCCGAGGTAACATCTAAACAATTTTGAAAGGGTTATATTTTCATTCCCTAGATACCTTTAAAGGGCTGTCCTCGAAATACCGCACACACACACGCACACAGACATGCAGCCCCACGCACAAGCACACCGACAGAAACTTTCATATCCACACGCATATATACGGGTGCCGTGCAAAGTATGTTTTCCCTATCATGGATAAAGTTTCCGGAAGCAGCTAAAGCATGAGAGCCCACCTTGGCAGATTGGTGAAAGAGAAGCTTCTGTCTTACTGCATCGAATAGTACCGAGATGTCTGGGAAGAGTACGCGAAGCTATAAGAAGTGATGAATGGGAAGAAAGGCTTGTTTTAAAAGCTAAAGAATATTTGTCGAAAGGAGAAAAAAATTAAGAATCCAGAGGAGCGTTTGGTGGAACTAACGGAGAAGCTCAAGGATTGGAAAGAGGAAATTGAAAGGATTCAAGGACTTGCCGAGGACCATGATCTAGATAGTGAGGATGATGATCCCAATATTCAGGGTCAGGACTTCACCATGGTGTTGGAGTCTAACGTACACATCGGAGGCCACCTAGGCAAGTTGCTGAGAGAGCTTCTGATTGACTACCGCAAGCTGTACATAGATATTTAGGAAGAGTACGAGAAGGTATAAGAAGTGATGAAGGAGGAGCAGAAGAAGAAAGGCTTGGTTAAAAAGCTAAAGAATATTTCTCGAAAGAAGAAGAAAAGAATAGAGAATCCAAAACAGCGTTTAGAGGAACTAACGCTTAAGCTCAACATTTTGGAAGAGGAAATAGATAGGATTCAAGAAAAGATTATCGAGGACCACGATCCAGATAGTGAGAATGAAGATCCGAAGAGCAAGGATCAGGCTCTCGAGACTAACAGGGATAGAGTGTTCGAGACTAACAGGGATAGAGTGTTCGAGACTAACAGGGATAGAGTGTTCGAGACTAACAGGGATAGAGTGTTCGAGACTAACAGGGATAGAGTGTTCGAGACTAACAGGGATAGAGTGTTCGAGACTAACAGGGATAGAGTGTTCGAGACTAACAGGGATAGAGTGTTCGAGACTAACAGGGATAGAGTGTCCGAGACTAACAGGGATAGAGTGTCCGAGACTAACGAGACTATCTCCGTGAATGAGAAGCTTCTGAGACACTACCTCGGTTAGTATGAATAAGTTAAGGAAAAGCTCGAGAGTCTGGAGGAGCTAGGTCTGGAGGAGCTAAGTCTGGCTCAGAAGGTGAAGAATTTTTTCCGAAATAAACAGGTGCCAAAACAGCGTCCGGAGGATCTAAGAATTCAGCTCAACTTTTTGGAAGAGAAAATACGAGACCTTCAAAGCGCGATTGCTGAGGAAGGAATTCCAAATATTCACCATGAAACAACTATTCAGGATGAAAATGCGAAAATTTAGGATGAAAATACAAATATCCAAGATGATCCTGATATTCACCAGAATATTCATTACGAAAACCCGATTATTTATCATGAAAATCAGAATTAAAACCCAATTATTCAGGATCAAGATGCGGAGACTGACGAAGAGGATGTTGAAGAGGAAGCAGCAGAGAAGAGCGAAGCTGCAGGGACAGAAGGAATAGGTTTACATATTCGAGTTCTCTTTTTTGCTCTCAAGATGAGCCTCCATTAAGTTTGTGTTTACTAAATAAAAGTCATCCCGAATATCTTTACTTATGTTTACTATCAAATACTCATACATTTCTCGCGTTCAACAAAGCACTATGTAACCCCCCGTGGGAAGCGCATCCACTACCGCTTCGGAGGGCTCGGCCATGGTAACCCTGTAAGATCGATCATGGTCCTCACAGCCTGTTTGAGCCAAACGCTTAGGAACCTATTTGGAATGTTGCTTAGTGAGGATAGTCTAGCCAATACCTCTTATTTCTATCTTTTTTTTACCTTGCCCGCTGCCTGTATCATTGTGGTGCTGTACACAATTGTGCTTGATTGCCAAAACAAAACCCCGATGCTTCTCGATATGAGAAAAACTTTCGCTTTTTTCAACGTGAACCCTCACGAACTGAAGTATTGTGTTGATTGTGAACAAATGCGTCTCAAGGCATCTGTTCACTGCAGCCACTGTTATGCTTGCATCACTAACTAGCTTAAACACTGCCCTTATGTTGGGGTCTGCATTACTAGGTCAAATTTCTCACAAATAGTGTACTTAGTCTTTTTATTCCTCTTTGTGAATGTTTTACAGTTAATTGTTGCAATTACCTCATTCTTCATCACAAACAGCTTTTACAGCACATGCCAACTGGTAATGATGGTCATTGACTCTTTGTTCTTTATCATTGCCGCATCTATGGAACTGACGAAACTTAAATAGTTGTGACAAGCCCATAATGAGATGTGGCCATGTCTCCGTCTATGTTTGCCTGTGTCCACGTCTTTGTCCATGCGGCCAGGTGCATGACCACGACTCCGCCCGCATGTGTGTGTTTTCAAATTTACAAGATGTTGTTGCAGAGGCAAAGGAACAATACCAAATCCACCAAATTCCCCCTGGCCGTTTCGTTCCTCCGCCCAATCACAGGGGAATACCTGTAGGCGATTGAAGTTCCTTGGCCGGGGGGGGGGGGGGGGCAACCAAGCCATGACTAACCCTCCAACTCAGATTGTCGTGACAATCTTTGATTCCGATATATATGCATATATATATATATATATATATATATATATATATATATATATATATATATATATATATATATATATATAATAAATAGATAGATAGATATAGAGAGAGAGAGAGAGAGAGAGAGAGAGAGAGAGAGAGAGAGAGAGAGAGAGAGAGAGAGAGAGAGAGAGAGAGAGAGAGAGAGAGAGAGAGAGAGTGTGTAAGCGTGTGTGTGTATGTGTAAAATAAATAAATAAATATAAATGTATGTATGTATATATATACACACATACACACACACACACACACACACAACACACACAACACACACACACAACACACACACACACACACACACACAC